CCTACATATCCTTGGCTATAAAGGAATTAGGTCAGTATAGTTCTGAAAATTTTAGTAGCTGCGACTACCGAGAAGTTGTGATTTTACTGATGTTGCTATTGTTACTGCTTGTTGAGTTCCTTATTACACCAAAATCAAAAATGAAAAAGACTAACTAAGCCTATCATGTACGAGTTACAAGATTCCTATCTATGAGTTTTTGAAGCTTGATCTTGAGTCTTGGTTCGTTCTTCATGCGGACTCTGATCTAAATCTTGATGCTTTCTAGATGCAGGTGCTAGTTAATTCTTCTTCAATTTTTCGGATCAAGGCGGGGCATGCAAAGCTTGTGATTTCAATCATGTCTTGAGTAGTCCATATCTTTTCTCCGCTTCTACACTTTGAGTTCACTTATTTTTCTTTTTCTTTTCTTTTATTCTGGATTGAGACTCCTTCTTTTGGTTTCTTGAACCCTGTGTCTCGAGGTATAACCTGCTCAGACACCAAAACAAAAAAACGAACGAAATGTTTCTACCCCAGTTTTCACTAGAAAAATTTCATGAGTTATTGTAACAAAATTCTAAACTACTTCTTTATTGAAAGCAATAAAAGTCAGGATTGTGTATCCTTGGGAAAAAGAGATTAGGGAGTGGTGACCCTATGTTTAGAATGAAATCAACTAGGGATTGGAGACCCTATTGTCGGAAAATCATCAACTAGGGAGTGGTGACCCTATGTTGGTATCAGGTTATGCTGGCATCAACTAAGGAGTGGAGACCTATGTTGGAAAATCATCGGATTATGCCAGCATCAACTAATGGGACCTATGTTGGAAAAGTCATCGGGTTATGCCGGCATCAACTAGGGAGTGGGACCCTATGTTGGAAAATCATCGGGTTATACCAGCATCAACTAGGGAGTGGGACCTTATGTTGGAAAGGTCATCGGGTTATGCCGACATCAACTAGGGAGTGGGACCCTATGTTGGAAAATCATCGGGTTATACCAGCATCAACTAGGGAGTGGGACCTTATGTTGGAAAGGTCATCGGGTTATGCCGACATCAACTAGGGAGTGGGACCCTATGTTGGAAAAGTCACCGGGTTATGTTGGCATCAACTAGGGAGTGGGACCCTATGTTAGAAAAGTCATCGAGTTATGCCGGCATCAACTAGGGAATGTGACACTATGTTGGAAAAATCATCACATGCCCCTGATGAGGCTGGGTACCTTTTTGTACATTAACTCGTGTCAGAAGAAGGCCTTGTGTTAGACCCTGTGCGTCCACCAGACTCTATAGAGAACCGGGTTCTCTATGTGTTTCCTCTAAAAATACTGATGAACCAAACTGTATAGGGGTCTGGTCCTATATCATCTTGGTACAGTGCTAAGTTTGTGTGAGTCCACCAAATAGCAGAGTACCTAGTCCTTTGTGGGGTTCTACTGTGAATTCTAGTAAAGCTGTGTGTAAATAAGGCCGAGGATTTTTACGTGGAAAAATCCCACACAAGGGGATCAAAAAACCACGACCTACACCTGTAGGCTTTTAACTTCACTAACTTGAAATCTCCCTATTACAAACTTCTTTACAATAACCATATTGCAACGACTTCAACTAACTTGTGATGCTCTCATCACAATCCACTCTATAACTATCCTAGTTACAAAAAATTTGACTAACTTGTGGTATTTCCACCACAAGCCATTTTATCACACTACGGTTACAAAGGCTTTTGCTTATGACTATCCGTAGTCACAACATAAACTCAGAAGTTTACGAATTTTGGTTTGTTCCTAAGACAACGCTTCTAAGAAAGTAAACTAGGAATTACAATGAAGAATACATAACAAAGACTCAACAACCTAAGGACTTAAGATATCTTCGATCTTGGATCAGGTCCTTGAGGTTGAAGCAACTTTGTTTTTTAGAGAGGTTCTTGAGCGTTTGAGAGAATTTTCGTTTTATGTATTTTCAAGTGTTGAACCAGAATTTTGTGCCTTGCATGAGGTTTATACTACACAAGACATTACCTTAGTGATGTTAATTCACAATGGTGATGTCCAATCTCAATGGGAAGTGACTACTGCATTGTCTGTTGCTCTATCTTCTGTACTATTTCAAGCAGCCACTTTCTGCAGTTGCTTTCCAACTGTAGTTGACTTTGTACTTCTGTTAGAGAACCCTAAGTGACCAGGTCCCTATTTTGTTCCTCTTTGTATAGTTGTGGACAGTCACTCATTTGCGATCCAACTGTATAGTTGACTGGTACTTCTGTCAGGGGAGCACCAAGGGATCAGGTTCCTAATCTGGTACTTGTGCACACTGCCCAGATTTTCTTTCTCTTGTTTGAGACAAGTCGTGAATCTAGAATATTGTAGTCTTTTACAGTGAAAGAAATTGGGACGAGGTTGTCAATAATAGATTACTTAGAGAAATAGGTAAAAGAAATTTCCACCCAAGATTTAATTCTTGGCAGAGGGAAGCCTCATGACCGAGCGAACGGAGGCTGGGGTAAATAGAGGAAGAGAAGATTTATTGAATGCTCTCGGGCATTTATTGAGGTCTTGAGTTTGAGTAACTTGAATCATTGTACTTTAGTTGATCAGAGAATGAGTGGGCGCTAGAAACAGTGCAGTACGGTAGAATCTTCGTTTCTAGCTATGCCCAATTGACTTTGTACTACCGTGAGGAACCCACAAGAGTATCAGGTCCTTGTCTGGGTTCCTACCTCCTGAAGCTGTAGCAAGTTCACATTTAACTGGAATCCATTAGATGCAGTGTAATCCAAGTGAGTTAGGTTCCCTATCTAGTTCTTGATATTAAGTTTGTTAGATCATCAAAACACAAGGCAAAGATATTGAAAACCTATCAATTTCCCCCTTTTTGATGATGACGAACTTAGCATTGAAAACGAGGAGTTAGAGTTCAGAGAACCAGATTGAATAACAGGAGACCACAGGTTCCCCCTGACTTTATGCCCTTACTTACACATGTTTCCCCATATGTTCCCCCTTAATTTTTATTATCATTCTTGGTCTTTTATCTGGTTCCATACAGAAAGTTTGTTAGATCATCAAAACATATATAAAAAGACCTTAAGCCCATCAATTTCTCCCTTTTTGATGATGACAAACTTTTAACATTGATGACTATTTGACTTAACCAGTATGGGTACCATCAACTGCATATGTTCCCCCTGACTCTATTCTTCCCCCCGACATATGTCCGTATACATTCCCCTTGATTCTATTCTTCCCCTTTTTGGCATCAACAAAAAGACACAATCAGACAAAAAGGCATAAAGAAGTCCAATAAGGCTAACTCATGCCATATATGTGCACACAATCATGATAGAAAAGAGAAGCAAAAGGGAAAACAAGCATTGTACAAGCAAAAGAAGAGTTATTTTATTGATAAGAAATTTGACTGTTTCAACAGGAGGAGCAATGGTGAAATCCAACATGCCATCACAAAAAGACGAACAAAAAAAAAAACAACAGCCACAAAATCATCAGAGCAAAAGATAACTGGCCACTAAGAGGATCCTAGGGGGCACTAGAAGAGGGAGGCTTGGAAGAGGAGGCATCAATAGTTTTAAGAGCTAGGTTCATGCGGACAGTTGTAGACAACTGTTAGTCAAGCAGTTTTTCCCGTAGGTTCTCCACTAGTTGCCTAAGTTCGGATGGAATGGTCTTTATTGAACTAGGTCCTCCCACAGTTTTCCACTTTTGTTTTCTAGACATTTCAACAAACTTCCCATTCCTGCTTGCAATAGCCACAATGGCACTTTTCAAAACAAATCATTCTCAACCACAAACTTTGTAGATCTTTCTACTAAGGAACTAGATTCCTCCGCTGCATCTTTATCAACCTTAACCACTGGAATGTGTTTATCAGCCAACCTCTTCTTCTTTTTCTTAATACTCTATTTACTCTTCTACAAGGTAGACTCAAAAGCTTATTTCTCCTACAACCACCTGGTTTGTTTTAGCTAAAAGAGAATCAGGTTCTTTAACAGGTTCTTCTGTGATGGTGTCATGAACCGGAGACTCAAAAAGCACCAAGTCCTTTCATCCCCTAAGAATGAAGTTTCTTCCCCCTGAGATGTAGGAACAGAGGAGAAGTAGGTTTTGCAACACATGGAAGTGATACATGGTTTGATGGATGAGTAGAGGTGACTGGAGATAAGGAGGAAATCGGTACGGGTACAGTAGTATCAGGGAACGTGAAGAAGTGGGTTTCTGGTGATGGTGTTAAGGGAGGAGGAGATGTGGAAGTGATGTTGATGGCAAGAGAAAAAGTCGATTATTCATTGGCCATAGTGAGAGAGGTGGTAAAAGGTGCAAAGAGAGACAATGGTTTAGAACTGCTGGTCTGAAAAGTTGGATGATGTGGCAGTTGAATTAATTTTTCTATCTTTTTCTTTGAACAATCATGCAAAAAACACATTACTACTAACCTGTTTTTGTAAAAGGGTTTTTGCAGCTCTCCTCCGAAGTTCAACACTGTACCTTTAGCTTCTGCGATCATCATGCGTGTTTACCTGCAACAGTATAGATGTGAGTTAGGCCTAGTAAGAAAACACTTTAGCCAATTTTACCTTAGTGTGACTATCATAGTCATGTCGCGAGAACCAAGTTCTCAATTAGGTTTAAGTAATCACAGTACCATCTTGTTTCTCAAAGTGTTCCCTGCTTAGAGATTTGGTGAAGATATCTACAATTTGATCTTCTGTGCAACAAAATCTTATACAAATAAGACCCTTTTCCACATTGTCCCTGAGAAAATGGTGGCTGACATCAATGTGCTTGGTTTTCTTGGGTAGAACATGGTTCTTTGTCATGTTTAGAGCACTAGTATTGACACATAGAAGCGGTACACAATCAATGTATACACTAAAATCTTCCAATTTTTTCTTGATCCACAGTGAATGAGCATATCACGATGCATCTGCATCATATTCTTCTTCAGCAGCTAAGAGAGCTACTAAGTTTTGTTTCCTTGTACCCCATGAGATAAATCATGATTCAAGGAAATGAGCCATTCTAGATGTGCTTTTACTATCCACCAGATAGCCTGCATAATCAGTGTCAGCATAACCAATAAGGTTGAAATTGTCACCTGAAGTATAGTATAGAACCAGGTTCTGTCTACCCTTAAAATATTTCAGAATTCTCTTAGCAGCCTTCAGATGAGATTCCTCAGGATTTGATTGGAACATTGCACATAATCTCGCACCAAATACAATGTCTGGACTACTGGCAGTAAGGTAGAGTAGAGATCCAATGATGCCCATGCTTCCATGTCAAACCTTTTTTAAGAGTTCTTTGATGCATTTCTGCTAACTGATACACGTTCTCTTTATGGAATGCTTTACTTGAAGACCCAGGAAGACATTCAATTACCATATCATACTCATTTCAAACTCACTTCCCATGAGTTTAGCAGATTTTTCACATAATGAGTTAGCTGTAGCTCCAAATATGATGGCATCCACATAAATCTGATCAATGAGCAGGTTCCTTCCCAATTTCTTCAAAGACAATGTATTGTCAATCTTTCCTCTTGTGAAGCCATTTTCCACGAGAAAATGGATGGTCTCTTGTACCATGCTCTAGGGGCATGCTTCTATCCGTACAGTGCCTTATCCAATTTGAATACATATTCAGGATGTACATGACGTTCAAAAGCCTAGAGGTAGCTTGATATAGACTTCTTCTTTGAGAAAACCATTCAAGAAGGCACTCTTCACATCCATTTGGAATAATGTGAATTCCATATGTGAAGCAAAGGCAATGTGGATCCTAATAGCCTCCATGCGAGCTACTGGGCCAAAAATCTCATTATAATCGATCCCTTCCTCTTGATTGAATCCTTGGGCAGCAAGCCTTGCTTTGTTCCTTGTAGCATTTCCATGTTCATCTAGCTCATTCCTGAATACCCACCTGGTCCCTATGATGGTTCTGTCTAAGGGTCTAGGTACCAGGTGCCATACCTTATTTCTTTCAAGTTGATGCAGTTCCTCTTGCATTTTAGTAATCCAGTCTGCATCCTACAAGTCTTCCTTGATATTTTTGGTTTCTTTGGGATAGAAATACTGAGAAGGCTAGGGAATTTCTGGTTTTTTATCTTGTCTAAACTCCAGAATCAAGGGGTGATTATATTATCAAGTGAGTAGGAGCTTTTATGTTTCCAATTTAGGACTGAAGTTTGATTTGTAGAGAAACTGGGTAAGTTAAATGGATTTCCCCTGCACTCCTTGTTATGTTACTTGGGGAGTGCCTTGCACTGCATCTCCAACTCTTTCTTCTGCTTCAGAGGTAATGATGGAAGTAACAGGTTCCTCTTGAGAAGTAGAAGAGGATGTTGCATTGTCTCTCACATGTTTCCTTCATCTTACTCATCAAATCAGCCTTCCCATTTGAAACTCCAGATAATTCCTAGGGACCAAAAGTGGTTCATTATCTTAATCATCACTGTTTCCTCCTTTTTAGAGGAGGATGTCTCGTTGAATAGCACATGAACACTTCTTTCCACGCAGTGTGCCATTTTGTTGTAGACTTTGTGAGCTTTGCTTTGAGGGGGGTATCCCAGAAGGATTCCTTCATCGCCTTTTGCATCAAACTTCCAAAGCTGGTCCTTACCGTTGTTGAGAACATAGCATTTTCATCCAAAGGTTCTCAGATGAGTTATCTTTGGTTTTCTTCCATTGAGCAACTCATAAGGGGGTTTTGTTTAGGAGAGGTCTGATCATGCACCTCTTTTCACTCCTGCTCAGTATTCCTATAGGAATTGCATGCTCTGTATTCTTTGAACTTTGAATTTAACAGACCATGGACTAGGTCCTTCTTCATCAATATATCCATAAGTGAGAAACTTGTATCCCCCAATCCTTTATGCCATGTCTTCGAATCATTATCAGTTGCATTCAAGCAGCTCATATCACCAGCTTAGACATGAACTTATACCTTGTTTTCTTCCCCATACCTAGAATGTACCCCTTTTTCCATTTTCCAAAGGGTACATCCCTTCCTTGCAGGGCTTTCAATGATAGAGAATCCATGGTATTTCCAGTCATGTGCTTTGAGCATCTACTGTCCATGATCCACTACAGTCCACTTCCTCTCAGTGTTCCCTGCACATCTAAATTATGGGTTAGATTTAAGAACCCAAACTAGTTTGGGTACCTTGTTATGATAAAAAGGATGGATAAGGGCTTTCCTAGTCCATGCAAGCAACATTGGTTTCTTGCGAGCGGTACCTAGTCCCTTGTTAGTAGTCACTTTGTCAGCAAACACTTTATTTTATTGAACAGATTGAGCCCCGGCCTGGCAATTTTCTTTGAAGTGCCCATTGTTCCCACAGTGGGTACACAGCCAGTTTTCAGAAACTGTGACGTACTTACTGTAAGGGTTGTAAGGAGTTTTCTCTTTTAGGAACCCGATTCCCTACCTATTTCCACTATCGTTGAAGTACATGGCAGTTACAACATCTGAGGACAAGGTCCACTTGAGAGATTTCTCAAGATCACTTTTTATTATCGTCAATTCAGCTTGAAGCTTCCTATTTTTCTCGAGTTCACCACATATCCTAGTTCTAGTAGCTTTTAACTCATTTTCAAGACTAATGTTTTCCTCACTGGCTATCTCCTTTCCTTTTCCAAAATTTCCAGGTTTTAACTTAGTCCAAGGTTTCACTATTGTTTCCCTTAGGTTTGTAATTTCTGCCAAAAGATCATTCTTTTCTTTTCTGAAAATTTCAATGGTTTTCTTATGGTCAGTAACTATAGCCACTAAGTCGTTTCTAGTTTGTTCAGATTCTGCTAACTCTAAGGTCAAAGAATCCCTATCCTCCACAAAACAATGAAAGGCATTGATTAATACATTAGCTAAAGACATGAGTTTTCTTGGAGAATAGGATTTCTGATTTCTCCGAACATCCCTGAAATTTACCTCTTTGTTGTCATCATCTTCATCATCATCTGGTTGTGCCATCAACGTAAAGGTTGAGTCATATTCAGCTGATCTTTTTCTCTTGAAGTTCTTGAAGAATTCTTGCTTCAAGAGAGGACAATTTTTCATGAAGTGTCTAGCCTTTCCGCACTTCTAAAAAAGATCATTGTTCTTTCATCTGTTAGAGCTGTCCCGTTCTAGCACTTCTCCATTTCTTCTGACCATATTCTGAAACCTTTTGGTTAAGTAAGCCATGTAGCTGTCTTCCTCGCTCGAATCATTGTTAGCAGCTTTAAGTGACCGGTACTTTTCCTTCTTTGGTTTTCTCCTTTCAAGAGTTGGTGGAACAGTCATGAGGATCCTTCGTAGGTGTTAGCCTGATAGGAGGAATCTGCTCTGATACCAATTGTTAGACCATATGCATCCACTAGACTCTATAGAGAACCGGGTTCTCTATGTGTTTCCTCTGAAAATACTGATGAGCCAAATTGTATAGGGATCTGGTCCTATATCAGTTTGGTACAGTGCTAAGTTTGTACGAGTCCACCAAATAGCAGAGTACATGGTCCTTTGTGGGGTTCTGCTATGAATGCTAGTAAAGTTGTGTGTAAATAAGGCCGAGGATTTTTATGTGGAAAAATCCCACACAAGGGGATAAAAAAATCACAACCTACACTTGTAGGCTTTTAACTTCACTAACTTGAAATATCCCTATTACAAGCCACTTTACAATAACCCTATTGCAAAGACTTCAACTAACTTGTGATACTCTTATCACAAGCCACTCTATAACTATCCTAGTTACAAAGAATTTGACTAACTTGTGGCATTTCCACCACAAGCCACTTTGTCACACTATGGTTACAAAGGCTTTGATTAACTTGTGATGTTTCCTCCACAAGCCACGTTGTCACACTACGGTTACAAAGGCTTTTGCTTATGACTATCCCTAGTCACAACATAAACTCAGAAGTCTACGATTTTGGTTTGTTCCTAAGACAACGTTTCTAAGAAAGCAAACTAGGAATTACAATGAAGAACACATAACAAAGACTCAACAACCTAAGGACTTAAGATATCTTCGATCTTGGATAAGGTCCTCGAGGTCGAAGCAGCTTTGTTCTTGAGAGAGGTTCTTGAGCACTTGAGAGAATTTTTATTTTTTGTATTTGCAAGTATTGAACCAAAATTGTGTGCCTTGCATGAGGTTTATACTACACAAGACATTACCTTAGTGATGTCAATTCAAAATGGTTATGTCCAATTTCAATGGGAAGTGACCGATGCACTGTCTATTGCTCTATCTACTTTGTCACACCTCCTTTTTCACTACACCCCCCGAAAGGGTATATAAGGGAGTTTTTTTCCAACTTAAAGTGACAATTGAAACGGGATTAATTTATTAAAAATTCAGAGTCGCCATTTGGGATAATTTATGGTGTCCCAAGTCAGCGGTTCAAATCCCAAATCGAGAAAAAGATTGACTCTGTATTACAGTTCGCAAACCAGAAATCCAGTTAAGGAATTCTGTTAACCCGGGAGAAGGTATTAGGCATTTTCGAATTCCGTAGTTCTAGCACGGTCGCTCAACTATTGTATTCGGCTTAATTATTTGATTTTAAAAATACTTTTAGACCTATGTGCATTTTAGCTTTAAACCGCTGTTAATTATTTTAAGGAATATTTCAACGTCATCTAAAACACGTCTTTGGATCGTGTCACGTCATCCTAAACATATTTTATTCAACGTTTTAAGATTTGAATTTGGGTTACATGAAATGCACACCCGAGTTTAGGAAAGTAATATTATTAGGTGACGCGCCTAAAGCAACTACGAGTTTGCAAATTTGCGAGGGCCATGAAAATTTGCTAAATGGTACGCCTCGATTTCTAAGGATTGAAGTTAATTAAACGAGGGCCACTGGTTGTCTTATTTATTTGGTGGCACCCCACAAATTAACTACAAGGATCTACTAATTAAATAATGCTAAGGGAATCATAACTACTTTTAAATCACAGCTGAATTTAAATTGTGAATCTAAAGGGCTAAGACTAAGTGAAATCTACTCCATTTTTCCATTTTAGAACTTGGTCCTGACCAGGCATGAGGCCTCATGGCCCAAAATTACCAGGCTGTAAGATTAAGAGCTTCGAGACAAATTCCGTTTGAGCCCAAATAGAGGGCCCAATTCTGAAGCGTGCACAAGCAGGATACCCCAGGAATTGAGCAACCACAAAATTAAATGGGCAATTACTAGCAGCTTGAAATACTAATTGGAATTAAGTTGACAATCATTTCAAACCATTTTTTAGTTTAAACTTATACACATGCTAATCATTGAAGTACTATAACTTGACAACCACTGAAATACTAATTAGAAAATCATGCTTCATTTGCAGTATTCATGCTTGACTCGATTGACTAGACCATTTCCTTCTCAAAACATGATTCCACACACACAACTCTTTAAAGAAACAATCATTTATCCAATTACGTAAACATTATCATCTAAACACCACAGATATGTACCAGAAATGGGCTGCATAACTAAGAAATTCAAGGCAGTCCACGCTACAAAATCAAAGGGCAGAATATAAAGTCTGAAACTACCAACATAATAGCCAAACTCACTGTCCAAAGCAAGACTCACATAGCTAA